ATATATATTATTTTATTTTTATTTATTTTTTTCATAAGCTTTTCATCGAAAATCTTCAGGCAACTTGTGAAGATCATATGTTTTGAAATTGATGTTCAACAAATATACCAAGTTAACAAAGAAATATCTTGACAAAATCCTAAAGCCAATGAATATCTGACATACAAAAGCTTTCGCTGGATCCCATGAAAAATAAGTGGTGAAGAAACAAGGCTCGTTTCCTTCTGTGACTTTGAACAATGGCACGTTTGGAGATAAACCCTCCAATGAAGCGGCCATATCAACATATTTCTGCGATTATATCATGCAATCAATAAAACACAATATGGAAGAACAACTTCGAGAAAATAGAAGCCATAAAGCAACTTTGCCACCTACCTGTCCAATTTCAAACGCGTTTTGCTTATCTTTGAGATCGACTGATTGACCAATCCATACACACACTTCAGCATGTGTGTCAAGGATTAAAATATCCTCAGTCAAAAGATCATCTTGAGAAAAGTTGTAAATTTCTTCAACCTGGCAAATATATGGTATTTAGGATATAAACGTCCTCCTAATACACATAATGCATGTTTGGTACACATATAGGTCTGGAGAGTATGATGAACAAGATTTTAACTTCCTTTTTTCTTTAATACTGTTAAGTACTATATAATCCTCCATATTTAACAAGCCAATACAATATGCAACACTTTTCAACTAATTTTCAATTCCATAACATACCTCAAACTTTCCTGCGAGTTCATATGGCAGCGTGAGCATCCCAAGAGCAATAAATAGAACACGCCAAAAATTATTAGATTCAAGGTTTCAACATACTCCAACATAAAGGGAAATAATAAGTAACTGTATAAAAAAGAATTGCAACCTTTATTAAAAGAGAAGGCGAATAAGTGAGGATCTCTGACAACATCTGGAGATACTTTCTTGCTGGTGTAATTTTGTTTCCCTCCAAGAGGATGCCAAAATGTTGAGCTCTCAGTTCCTTCTTTAGTGTGTTTAACAGCTAATCCCGGCTGAGTTCATAGAGATGTAGAAAATAATTAGTCATTAACTGCAACACCGTAGGGACCGAGATATTTAAAGTTACATATAACAGAAGACTTTTTATGCGCTACATTACCATTTCGCTGTAACTGTTTTAACATAGTACTGTAAAAATGTCGGATCATAACATAAACCCAGATATCCTAATTATAGTTGGTAAAAGCCACCTATGTACAAGCGCTTGCAAGGTCCCTTAGGTGCTTTTTCAATGTGTAAAAGCAGTACCCAGTGAGAAGCCCAAAACAATCTAACCAGCACAAATTGCTAAAAAAGGGGGCTTTACAGAAGTTTGAGCAGTTTGTCTCTTTTTGTCCAATCAATTCAGTTTAGATCGTCAAATGGCATTGATTTTTGGGATGTTAATACAAATATCTTACTCAGAAGTTGCAGTTCCCATTTTGCTTTCTTTCTTTCTTTTATAAGGGTTGATTTGCTCAACTTAATGTTGATACTGAGGACGAGTATACAATTTGATAAAACCCAGTGGGCAAATTTCCTAATCTCCCAGAAATTTGCAATTCTCATTGCAAGAAACTACATGCCAACAAAGAAATATGACCATCACTTTATTTTTGTTTCTGCCATCTAGAATGATAGATGAATAAAAAACTTACAGTTAAATTTATTCTTTTTAATTGGTATTCTTGTGCAAATTGTTGATATATTTGTGTAAATAGAATTAATCCATGGACAGGAATAGGGAAAGAAGTCAGATTTATGCTATGGGTAAAGCCTAATCCCATACACGAGAGCAATAATGGAGGGAAAAAAAAAAAAAGCACACACAGAAACATAGAAATTATAGTGGTCCACCTTTAATGTGAGAGCTACATCCAATTGGCCGCACATTTTTCACTTGTCAAAAATTGAGAAGAAGTTTACTATTGAAATCTGTTTCATGTCTCTAGCTCCATAGAAAAAATGAATAATGCTATCTAGAACTAGTGGTGCTAGAGCACCAGTCTAGGTGCCCACTATCGTTATGTTCAATTAAATAAATCATGTGACAGTGCATTTAAGTGGATCTATCATTTAATGCTATAATAATTGCCACCTAGACTGGTGCTTGGCACCAGTGGTGATGAATAACATCACTCACAGACACTCACATAAAATGGAACCCTGAGACTCCTTTATATATGGTGGGAATCTAGGGTGACCTAATACAAAGAGATAAATGCACAATTACCCCTATATTAGAAACATTTCAAAGAACAATGTAATTAGGCTCCATATAGCCTAACAATTTATCCCAACAAAAAACAAGAGACTGAAGTTCAAGGTTTAATTTAGTATTCTAAAAAGTAATTTATGAAGATGCGTGGTGTTATAATCATAACCAATTACCAATGACTGGAGATGTACTCGCAGTTCAAATATTATCATTTCATTTTGTTCTTGGGTGAAATCACAAGCATATTATTACAGTGCAGTATTAATGTAGTAGAATAACCACTAAGAAGAAAAGAACAAAGATACACCCTGTTCTACAACGTGCATACCTTCAAAAACTCTGCAACTTTGGCCACTAACTGCTGCTGCTCAAAGGTGCTTTGATTTCCATGCCAACAAAACAATGAAGATCCAGATTGCAGCAGAAAGCACTCGTTTGAGTTCAATGACGTTGCCACCTGAAATGATTACATCATTTGGATTAAGCAGCAAATAACTTCATACAGCTGAATATTAAGAAAGAAGCCAAAAGTAGAAGCTCATTGAGTACGCAAAGCTAAGTCCGGTATATAAAGCCATATTGAAAAAACAGAGTAAAGCGTTATATACAACTTGAAAGATAGAGGCCTTAGGAGTTGAAAGGACACAAATTGAAGTAACTAAAAGGAAAAATAAGTAATGGATTTACAGCATCAATTTGAATAGCCTTGTTGTTATGCACGGAAGTTCCAGATATCCGCACGAGTGCAACACCATCGGCCGTGTAAGTGTCATCATTCAAACCTTTGTTGGTAATATATTTCTTGTACCTAGAGCTCATCCCACCCTAAGGCAACAAATAAAGATGATTAAGAACATCTCCAAGAGACTCTATGAACAAGATGTCAGAGAAACAATGCTTAAAAATAAGCTCCAAGAGACTCAATTCTAACTTTCTAAAATAGAAAGTAGGTTTTGCTCTCCAAATTTGGAGAGCCATAATCACTTTCTATTCATACTTTAAATGATTGCATTTGATAAATTATAGATTTCAAAAACTTACTTATTGAATTATTTAAATAATACTTGAATATATTGGCCGTTGGCATATAAAAACATATGTTAAATAAAAGATGAAGAGAAATCAATAAATTTTTTTGGAAAAAAGCAAAATGAAGAACCAAGTAGAGGACATTGTTGGAGTGGAAAAAAAGTTCAACTCTTTAAATTTAGAAATACTCTCAATTATGCATGATATGCTTTTTTATAAATAGAGAGTCTCTAGAGGAATTCTCTAAACAAGTGGTTCAGGCATATGTTCTTTATTCATAATTAGCATCCTTTTTATTTCCCAATTCCATGTACTAAAGGGTACCTTTAGGATCACCATAGGCTGAAAGATTGCAACAAACTGGGGAGGCTCTTTTCCTTGAAAAATCCGACCCTGCACAAGGCATAATTCACATCTTAACTCTGTACATTGCAGCATCCAATGTTGTACACAATTTGCTCATTTGCTAAGGTGGACTTACAGTAATGGACATTGGACAGTATAAGAAAAGAAAAGGAACTACAATCTTGTCCATAATGCTGTCTAATCCTGTCCAATACCAAACATACTCAACGAGGTAAAATGATACCTGAACTGGTCTCCCTTTCAGTGAGCTACACATTGTAGTAGCCAATCTAGCAGCCGTCTGCTGGTCCTCCTGGAAATGGATAATTATTCTTGTTAATACTCATAAATGAGTAAATGGAAAGTGGTAACATGATATAAACCTCTTAAAATACAAGTGGCTCATATAAATACGACAGTGAGACATTTTTTTCTGAATCAGAAATATTGTATGAAAACACGTCAACGGCTGGAAGAAATAAAAATGGCATCCATATGTCCAAAATGGCATTTCGATAGTAATTGTAACATAACTTTTGCAGAAACTATTGCAATATTTCACTCCACTTTTCAGTAAGAGAGAGGACTCCATATAATGTGAACCTAACTAATTTTTGAGAGCACGTGTACTATTTATACTACCTACATAATATAGATTGTTTTCACAATCCAAGTGTAGCCAGCAACAACGTATAGTACCTCAACGCTGTCTTTTCCAATCCAAAAACATAAGTAGTAATCTTCTTTCCGCTCATTAGAATGGTAGGTGTAGAGGACAATGTAGCAATCCCCACTATAAAATTTACCGATCTGTTCACTGGACACTGGAATTTTTGAACTGCCATCAATGCGCCAAACCTGGCAAGATAAGATATTTAAAATTCGAAACAATTCGAAGTTTAGCAACATATATAATCAAATTAATCCAAGAACCGCAAAAAAAGGACTCTGAAAAAGACCTCTATTTTTCCACCTCCTTCAAGCAACGGCGGGACTTCTTCATTCACAGGAGCACCTTTGCTCGCTCCCTTCATGACACCACCTTGCTGCTTCAAAAAAGCTACCAAAACCCAAAAGAGTCTTTAAAATTTAGTGTCCCTTATTCATTAACTTAAGCTTTTAGATAACATAGTTCATACGGTATCAGAACGAGACAAAAGACCTAAGTTCAAGTCTAGCTGCCACACATTCATGAAAATGGTGCTCATGTTGGGACTTTCATCTAAAAAATTTAAATCTAGCCGGCACGTGAGGGGGCATGTTGAAAACTAAATTCAAATAAATAAATTCGTTCCCTTTCTAGCAACTTAACGTTTTAGATGACATGGTAAACATTCTAGAGAACCTGGGACTGAGATGTACCTGTAACTTTTCCTCGTCCCTCCTCAGCAACAGAAGGTGCTGATCCTGATGGCCAAGAATCAAAGTTGGATTTGAATGAATGTGTCTCATACCCTTGAATTAGCCGAACAATATGTGTTGATTTTGGTCTATTTTGGCTAGCCAAAAAATCCTGAAATATCAATTAGGTGTGAGAATCTGAATATTGTAATTGAGGACAAAAATGTAAAGTTAACCTTCTACCTCTGCAGCTTGAATAGCAACTTTCCTCTCCTCCACTTGTGTCACCCGGCCAACCCAAACAAATACCTCAGCACCACAATCCAGTAAGTAGCATTTATTATTTTGCAGAAGCGACTTTGAAAGTTCTCCTTCTACAATCTGGACTTGGCCGTCAATAATGCTGATAAAAATGAAGGACAGTCACCAAGATCAGTCAATAGGTTCCAGGTTAATTGAGTACATAATCCAAAACTAAGAAAAGGCATGTAAACGCATGCCAGTCAAACTATTGGCTAAAAAGCAACCAGCTTCACATCTCATTTTATTGTACTTTCTTAAACTCTCTATAACAACGTGACATGTAAACAGCAAATATATGTTCACCAAAAATGATTATTTCAATTATACTTTTCAGGCCTGATTGATTGGGTAAAGTAAATGAAGCAAAACAATTTCATCATGCTAATTGAATATCATGGGAGAAAAACAAATTTAGTTCTATGTCGAGAAATTTTCATGTCCGATATAGTCAACCATTACTGGTTAACATAAACCCTATAACATTTGCAATATGAACAAAAGCTCTGTCCAAAAGACAACAATAAAATTATACATGGAAGAATAACTACCAATGAAGTTTTGCAGGAGTCTTTTCAGGGATAATATCATCTTCTGTAGCAACCTTTTTGCCAATTGGAGCAAACCCACCAAAGAGGACCCAGAACTCACCAGAATCTGACTCAGCTTGTAATTTTCCATCATCTGAAGTAGGGAACGACATTTATAGATGTTAAAATAATACAGAGGTAGCACCCATAAGATAACGAGAAGGACATAATTACAACCATAGCAACTAGAAGAATTCTTACCAACAATTGCAACATCAGACATCCCCTCATGATATTTGTCTTTCAAAAACTGAATTACTTCTAATGACTTGGCCCTTTCCTGAATATTGGAGTTCGCACCATTGAACTGATATATCTTGTCTTTAGTGTCAAGAATAAAAACATCATCATGACTTAGAGAGGAGCGAGAAAAAGGGACCTGCATAATGCAGAGGACCAATCAATACCCTTTATATGAGGTCCAAAACGAGATATATACTGTAAACATTTATAAACTCCTCCACCTGCTTCATTCTCACAGCTCGTTTTCCTCTACAAATATATAATCGTGTTTCAAATTCTTCCTCTTCAGGTTTCTTAAATCCAGAAGCAACACCACCTTCTAATGGTATAATGCATGGTTTGAAGTATGACAAGAATTTGTCAGATTCGTGGCCTTGTAATTCTCTGTACTGCACAGCACGGCCGCCAAGAATGGCATCAAGTTCAACAGTTTTGATAGCTGCAGTCCCGGCTTCATCCTAAGGTAAATGTACCCCTAATCAATGCATGGATGTGAAGGAAGTACTCCTAAAATAGGATGATAATAAGACCATACCTGGCTAGTATCCTTTCCAAGCCAGAAGTGTATGTCATAAAGATAAGCACCGCCTCCTTTTCCAGGACTTGTCTGCATAGAAAAGTACTTGAATATGATAAGTCAAAAAATGTTTTTTTTCTTCGAACTTCATGCCAAAGTTAAGCCCTTGCACCTGCAGAATAATGTATGAATCTCCTGCATAGAATTTACCATAATCGGATTTTGGCAAAGGAACTGGTTGGAAGTTCTCAATTCTCCAGATCTCAGTCCCACTATAAAGAGTTAATTTCAGCAAGAACGCAAAAAATTCAAGTCAAACAAACACAGATTCACGATCAAACATGCAGTGTGTAATCTTCAACATGTAATTCTGTGCAATTTTAGGAAGTACTAATAATGCAAAGTCAAATATATAGTTCATTGAGACTTGTTTCCGTAAGAAAGGATACACTCTCTGACCCGCTCCCTGAAATGCAGGTTCCAGAGTTTTGGCTGTGCTAGACATTCCGCGATATCCTTCCCACTGCTGACAGTTTTTTGCGCAGAAAGCGAACACAATTCTTCAACCTCCTAAACAGCTGTGTTTAAATCCCCCAGGAATCAACAATGCGAGAAAACAAGGAAGAAGTTAGCAAAATAAACAACTAAATATAATGATGTAGAGCAATCATTACAGCATGTCCACGAGTAATCTGAGAATATCTAATTCCTCCTTCCAAAAAAAGTACTGAAAAGAAACAGCTGGCAATACACTTAGAATACAATATTGTGAATTCTACTTAACTTTCTTAAAGAGAATGTTTGAATTTTTTTTAAGAGAATGTTTCAATAAGTTGGTTCTACTCATATTTGAGTGCAAGAGTACGGCACTTGGAGTACATCTTGGAAGCCCCACCTCTCTATTTATGCAACTTCTTGGGCTTACCATAAATTCATCCCTTTGATCTAATCATCTCTTGAGAATAAGGAAAATTGAGTAGAATGAAATAGTAGCTGCCTATGTAAAATACTAAAATTAGACCCATAATAAAAAAGTCACGGCGTTTAGTATCTGGCATCGACCAGAAATAAGTTGTGATTTTAATATTAGTGCAGAACCTTGAATTTGCAGCAGAACATCTCAATGTATAAATTATATCTTTGTTCCTTTTAGTATTGTTCTTCCAGTTGTTTCAGTAAAAGATATATTTCCAGCTTATCTCAATGTATTATTCCATCAATTCATACATTTACAACTGGAACTTGGAAAAAAACCAGAAAGTATAATACTTATCATCAATAGTCTCGGCGGTTGATCAATAGCAACAGCGAAGTTGTCTGCAAACCATATGTCAACTTACGTGAAGAAATACATAAGTTTCCCAGAACTAGCTAGATAAGTATTAATCTTAATCAGAAGTTTCTTAGAAGCTGAAGGAAGCATAGAAACGTTTGGCCCAAGATCAATGAAATGAGCTCTGCGGTGTAATTGTTTTCTATTATTACTAATTCTAGAAACACCAGGCTAATTCAAGGTGATATTTCTTCTATGACTACAAAAATTGTTACTGGTGAAATCTCCGAATAATTTGCCCAGGTAAAAAGATACTACTTCACATGTTATGAAAACAATGCAGGCCTTTATGGTTTAAAAACAATGAGATATAAAATCAGTGATATCAATGAGAAACAATTAAGACGATGAAGGAGCCACGGTACACAGTTAAAAACGGCCAATCAATAAAATCTACAAAACTTCAAAGATTTTTGTCGCTTCAACAATCCATTGAAGAAATTCTCAATATATGATCATCGAGATATTAAAACTTCAAGATAGCCATAAGGGCCCTCCCGCCATAAGGGCCCTCCCTTCAGCATATATTTCAAAATTAACGGATCATAAGAGGAGCTGTCAATTTCAGACAATAACCCAAATATGTATACTTAACTTTAACGAACATTAAAAATATAAAGAGAAACTATCAATAACCAGTACTTCATAATTCAGAATAAAACTAATACATTGAAAAGATTACATCTTTCTACAGATCATTTCTCTAATTAGATTATAAGTGAAAATAACAACAATTACCAAATACCCATCTCTCGAATAATCATTGCAGAACAGATAACACCACAAAATTCAAAACAAACAAACCCATATCAAAATTCAAAGAAATGGGATTTCAAGAACCATTTTTCAAATAAACAAACCTTAAACCGATCCCTACAATTCTCTCTCTTTCTTCACAAAAATATGATGATAGGTGATCAAGAAACGGGTGTCTTAGAGAGAAAAAGAAGGCTAAAGGTTTAAATGCAAAGCTGGCAAACGACAAAAAGTAGTGAGAGAAGAAATTTAAGGGACAAAAGGGAATTGAATGATTGATGTAAATGTAATGGAATGGCTTCCTTTTATTTTCTATATATAATTTAAATTTGTACAACTATTTTTCAGACAGATTATACAAGTATGTACCCAAATAGAGGGAAGATATATATGTGGATATGCGAGTGTGTAGAGAGAGAGAGAACAGAATTTGACGGAATTTGAGGGAGGGAGGGAGATGTGATTGATAAATTGAATATAGAAAAATGAGTATTTGGGACAGCCAAAAAACTCGTCACTCGAGTTCGATCACGAAAAAGTTCGAGTAGGGTCGGATAGGATCGGGTCGGTTCGGGATCGGTTTCACAGAGTTAAAGCTCGGACCGAGCCCCATTTCGGGACGTCGGCTCGAGCGGAGCTGACCCGTGGCTCTAGTCATGTAAAGATGGACGGCCGCCCAAGCCTCCGTAGGCGAACTGGCCCGCGATTCGGCCCACGAACCGTTGTAGGCCGAATCGTGGGCCGCCCGCATCTTGAACCAGTTCGGGCCGGTTCAAGGTGAGATGGCCGCGGTTAACCGCTGGCCCGTTAAAAAAAAATAAAAATAAAAATTTAAAACGTTTTGTGCGCCTGTAGGCCTGCTGCTCTAGGCGCAGCTGAACGGTCATTTGACCGTTCTGATTTTTTTT